TATCATTCCTGAAGTCATTTCCTCACCTAAAACATTATAAATACTGTACATGATCCCCTTCACTCCCACACATACATCTATTTGCATCTCACCTCCACCTTTGCAGCTGCCCATTGGTCATTCCTCTCTCTACATACAGTAGGAAACCAGCCTCCTCATCCTCTGGCCAGGAGGTTAACCCTAGTGATTATTTATTCCTAGTGAAGTTAAATTGGGATAGATGTTTGTAGAATGTGTAGGCCTCTCATTGACATGTCTGCTATCAGTGTATATTGGAATTCCTATACAATTATAGAAATGTAGATGCAAGGCACTACATTACTGAACCTGACCAAAAGCTTTTGAGAAAGGAGTAAAACTAAAAAGATTCTTAAATTGTTTTCTTATCTGGCTTGGCTGGTTTGATAACATTGTACTGGATCGCATCTGACTGGGGTGTCTGTTTTCGGATTTCTTGCCATGTGTGGGGAATGTAGGCTTGTTTTTCTTGTTTTGTGGTGAGCTCACATCATCACTACAGAGATTTCCACACGCACCTGCAATAACACTGCATTAAAATGTTCAAGTTTCTTTTTCCTTTCTCTAGAAGAAGGCATCTTTAATTGTATACCTCCTCATACCAGACTGACCATGCTGTAGGTCTACGTGTACTGTATTTAATGGGGAGAGCCCTCACTGGCATCCACCCTTTACGTGTCAAACAAAACCTTTCTTTTTCCAGTATTAGTATGTGTATTTGCGTCCAGTCCCTGGCTGATGTCAGTAGAATTTAAAATTCTAGTGACGAGAGCCAGCACAGGCTTAAGTGTGGACTTTTGCACACTGTGTTCTTGCTAAGTTATTGAAGCCTTTGCCTCTTTCTTCTGCTTGTTTTGTATGTACAGATCAAATCACCATCTACAAAAAACAAGCAGCCTAACAAGCAGCCAAAGAAAGGAATGCTGATTTCCCAGACTGAGAGATTGTTAATCCATGAATTGATGTTAAATCCTCCACAATTAATGACTCTGTAGATATACAGTGTACAGTAATATTGTCTTATTGCTTCTGATAGCCAAGATAATGTAGTGAATTTCTTTTCCTCTGATAAGATGTTTTAATATAAAAAATGCAAGCAAAAGCAATTCTGTGAAGTATAAGAACAGAGCTTGGCCACACTTATTTTGGGTCAGATTAGTCACTTTATAGGAGTTTGAGACAAAAAGTCAGATCTCTATTTATTCATGTGAACAATCCCAGAGTAAAAATTAAGATACCCCGTTTTGCTGGAAGACGGATAAAATAAAGAAAACCACTAACCAAAATGTACATGTTCAATCAAAAGTATCTTAAAAGCATTCACAACATCTTCCCTAGTGAATAAAACATTAAACAGAATGAAACAGAATAATGCTACAGTACATCTAAACTGCTGTTGACACTGATATTTTATTAATGTTCTGCATTGTTTTTCAAAGGAAAGAAATTTTCTTACAACCTGACATTTTATTTTAAATCAAGACATTTCTCCATAATCTGATTTATTATTTGACATAAATCAACATTTAAACATCTGCTGTTTAATTTTCTACCCACATAGACAGGTTTAATCGTATTGATTTGTTTTGGTACTTACTAGTCGCACAGTAATCCATAGCTCCATTTGCATTGGCAGTATTTATTTTGCCCTTTCTTCATATTATAATATAAAACAAACATAATTAGCACTAAGAAATAAGATATTATCACATCATTGTTTTGCTTTCATACAATTGTACAATTTAAAACTGCAGTCTAAGTCACTACTGTACATGCATTGGTTATACTGACCTGTGAAGAGCACCAAAATAAAAGTCACTGACATCATTGATTGACCAACATATGGTCTTCATTTGATTTCAAGTCAAATGAAGACCACAAGATGCTTTTAATTTTAGTATTCAAAATGAAATGTCAGTTGGACAAAATTGTATGTCAATATTGTTGATTATTCATTTAACAATTAATTATAACATCTACTGTATATCTACTGTATGAAGCATCTATCATTTTTCTTAGAAATGTATGGAGGTCTTTTTCATTAATACACCTGATAGTCACAAATAAAACTCCATTTGCAACCTTCACAAAATCTTTACTAAGCATACACACAGTTTCAATTGTAACAATAGGTTTTCAACTCAAGAGTTAGATTTCACAGCCATACTATACCACCTATTACTTAATGTCACTACAATGAGCCACTGTTGGTATTGAGGGTCAGGGCCTCGTATCTGATCACTGATGGCACTTATAGGGATCTACAGACACTGTGTTTATGCATTAGCTGAGCAACCATAATAAGCTGAGGCCTCACAAATTATTTTATTTTCAAATTCCCCAACCAATTAGGAGGAGATTTACACAAGCCTTACAGCACACACCTAATCTTCTTGGGCGATCTGCAGTGTTTCTCCTCTGAAATACCCTCTTATGCTCTCATGGATCACTCATGTTAGCCTTTATTTTTCTGAGGCCGTGGCCAGTCCGTGTGTGTGAACTGCTTATGGAATAAAACTGGCATGCAGCCTACTTAGGACATTTGACCTTGTGGATTTTTAGTTTCTCCGTGCGGTTTTCAAACACGCGCTTTTCCCTTAGCAGAGGCTAAAAGGCTCAAAAGGGTGGAAAGCAAAATATTTTCTTTAGTCTCCTGGACGCCAGGTTGCATAAAAGGTTCCACAGCCGTTTGCATCAAACCTCAACCGTCGAAACCACAAATTTTGTTTTTGTAGCCATAAAACTGCCCGACCAAAAAAAAAAAACTAAAAAAAATTTCCATTCGGTTGATTCTTATAAATTGAAATGAACTAAAAAAATCTGGTTTACTCCCAAAAGGAAAACACTGAGTTAAATATATTATGTATGTATGAATTAAACATGTAACACATAGACACACAGACATTATATATATCTACGCATATGTAAATTTATGTATAACTGATGTATTCCATTTAAACAGGACACTAAGCAAACTTCATAAAACCGCATGATTGCAAGCATTAATTACAAATGTAAAGGCTTTAGAGCGGGGTCCCTAACATTGGCCCAGAAAGCCCCAAGATGGAAAATTTTCTAGGTCACCCAGTAGTTTCCAGACCTGGTCCTGGGGGGACTGGGGACCACTGACTCTTCTGGTTTTTGTTCTTGACAAGTTCTTAATCACTAATTGATTTCAATTGACTTTTTGAGGCATATTTTTAAAATTGCTTTAATGTCCTAAAAAGTTAATTGGAATTCATAAATGGCATCAAACCTGTACTCATTTCAGGAGGTTTTGAACTCCCCTGATTCAGGCAGTTTATTTGAAAGATAACCAATCGGGCTTCCTGAAAAGGAAACAAAATGTTCAGCATTTGATACATTATCATTCCCAGTTCTCTCTGTTCATCATAAATTGATCACATAAAGGATCAAGGAAAACACTCTCAAATGCAAGTTGAGAATACATGTATGTTCTTGTAATTGGAAACAATACAAGTTTGAAGGAGGATTTTTAAAAACAGCAAGATCCAAGTACAGAAACAGATGAACAAGGAAACAGATAAAACAATTAGCACTGATAATTAGAGTTCAGCTGGAATGAAAACCAGCAGACAGAGTCCCCCAGAACCAGGGCTGGGTACCACTTCACTAAACCACCTTTGTCTGAAGATTCGGAGCATATACCAGTTATTGATTAATTAAGCAATCTGATCAGTAAAGGAAACTTATGCTGGTGGCCTTATTTTCTCATCACCTGCAATTGATCACAAGTACATTTTTCCCATGTCATTTATAAAATCACTTTATTAGCCATATACAATTTCTTGCATTAGCAATTTGTCTTTTCACATACCTCAGCTTGCTCTCCATGAGACACACAGGCAGGGAGAGAGAAGCTTGGGGTCAGCCATTTATACAGCACCCCTGGAGCAGTTGGGGTTAAGGGCCTTGCTCAGGGGCCCAACAGAGTAGGATTCCTCTGCCGGCCATGGGATTTGAACCGGCAACCTTCCAGTCACAGGTGCAGATCCTTAGCCACAGTGTGGCGAATACAGAAAATATCATTTCAATATAGAAACACATTTACTGTATGTATGCATTTTTAATCATATTACATTTACAGAAAGGTTACATGTATAAAAAACAACTGTTGATTTATCTATTTATCTTTTAGTTTGCTATACCACACATCTACAGACCTGAAGGGCTTATAGATAGCTTTGACTGAAAAAATATAGTCCACTAGATGAAACTATATATATATAGTGAATTACACACTTACATTAAGTACCATTCCCCGATGCTTTCAATGGTCAGTGAGCTGAGATCAGAAACCCACAACAATACTACCCAATTAACCAACTGATTAATCCAATTAAGTCATTTAGACCTGGAACAAACCCTGCACCCACAATAACTCTCTAGGAGCAGGGATGTAGACCCTAGTACTAGCCATATTGTATTGCCTCTTGAAAAAATTGATTGCAGAATTTTATCTTGGAGGCAGTTTGTTTTGGATTAAGGTTAAAGCTGTAGTAGGAAAATATTTCATATTGTTTAAAAAATAAATCAAGTAAATGATAAAATGTAAATTACTAGCAACATGTTGCGTATGGTTTCTTTCATTAAAGCCATTGAACAATGCAGTTCAGATATAACTGCAAATAAATTGAAAGTGTAGTTCAGAATTTCCTGTGAGCAGTTCTTTTGTATCTTTTTAATGCTACTAAAAATAATATTATAGCTTGCATTACAATCCTCTTTCACTACAAAACCAATGATTTGGGATTTCAATTGCTTTTTCGGAAGTGATCTCCCTTTAGGAGGTTGTGTTTAGGGTCAGCATAACAGGTGGTACTAACTGGGTGAATCTATTGTTTTCAAAACAATGCTACAGCACATGTAAGCCTTGACCACCATTTAACTCTTCTGAAATTTAAGACCTACTGCTTTTTAGAAGGGTTCTCCCTCTGTTTACAGATGCAAGTACCTTTTGACATCCTTTTGCTGTTTCTGAAGACCTCTTTGTATTCATCTTTGTGTGACCATCAGACGCGGTGACGGCTTCATTTGTTAGCTGTCTTGTCACAGAAATTGCAGGTTGCTGCTCATCTACTTCACAATCTGTCAATAAGGAGGAAAGGGATATGTCCTTATCCAGCGATTCTCTGAAGGGAGAATTTCTTTAATCATTTGAGTGGAAAAAGATGAGGACACATAAGGATTACTTCCTAACTGCTGAAAGTAAGGGGTCACCCACCAACTACCTTTCAGGAATTCAGATTGAGATAAAAGTTTGTATCAGTAGCTGACTGACACAGTTGGCAAATGAATGGTATGCCAATTTATAAAGAGCTTAATAAGAATTTGAGAGAAATTGTAAGAAAAGAATATGCTTATACTTTATTGCCTGCAATAAACCTGGGATTTCCAACCCTCGTCCTGGAGTGCCATACTCCAGCAGTTTTTTACATCACCATTAAATCACCCACTTCTACTGATGTGGAATAGTTCAATTGTGATAAATTAAACAGGTGATGTGTTAAATAAAGTAATTTAGAGATAATTAGGAGTGAAATGTTAAATTCCTGACCCCAGTCTTCAAAGACCAGAGTCCAGTTAATTAAACAGATTACTTGATTGATTCATCAATAGCCACAGAGGCTGCCAATCTTGATTAAGTATTTTGGGAATCCGCAGAACCAGACCCCTGCTGTAATGCAATATTCTATATATAAATAAAATGAACAAGAATGTGGGTGTTTTTTCTGCATCAGTATCAGCCTTTATGGTCAGCTGAAATCTATATTACTCTTAAAACAGCAGCTTTAAGTAGTGAGCACAGTAACAAGCTTTTTATAAAGCATGTACATCTGTGATCCTTATTTTCTTTATCTTATCTATTTTTGACATCACATTTAATTTTTTATGTTAAAACATGAAGCAGATAAACAGTTAGGAAAACAGAAAAGTCTAATACTGTATGTAGGCAAATATATTGTTTGAAATCATTAAGATTACATTTTGGGTTTTGTGTTTATTAATTTTAACTTCTTTACCAGCCAAGGCTTCAATATTATATAAACCTGTTTTTTGACTCCAGGCATGTTTACAACACAGACATGGAGAAGCAGGCTAGAGTAGAGCTTAGCACAGCCCAGAAATGCCATTAAAATGCTTTTCTGCATTCCTTTCACTTTTTAATGCAATCTGTACAAAGAACTCTGTTTTGAAGCAAGTGTAATGGCAACAGGAACTGTTGACTGCAGCAAAAAAAACATAAGCCTGGAAGGATTAAGAAGAAAATGCACTGTAAAAGGCATTACAAAGTATTGGTCTAGGTTATTTATTACAGGGCAGTTCCTAGTCTGAGTACTGCATACACAGTGGATAGCATTAAGGGAAATGTTCTGTCTTGGTGCACTTACATAGTTGATTGTAACATATTCAAGTAAAATACGCCGTAAATACTTTGTAACAGAGCCATATACTGAGAAAAAATGTTTAAAACATGTATTGGAAATTAATGATTACTATTTGTGTTTACTTTCATATGAAGTAAAATATACAACTTCTATAGTGCTGGCCACTGTTATGCAAACTATATATCCAGAAAATCTGTTCCTCCCCTTTGAAGCATGCAGCAGCCCAAATTTTCCCCAAAAAACAGTACTCCATTACACATCAGTCTTCACTCTTGTCCATGTCCGACAGCTAAATTATACTGGACATTATGGTCATCTTTGAAAACAATCTAAGGCCCAGAGGATACAAATCAAAGTTGCATACAAAGATGTTCCTGTGACTATCCAACCACGGCAACTGGAGATGATTGCATGAGAAATAGGACTGCTGTATTTCTCAATTACCAGATGTTCAGCACCGACCAGAGGAAAGACAAGTACCTCCCCAGCAGCATCACGAGCCTATAGGGGTCATCCTGTTGCTAAGAGCCAAGAAAACCTTGGCCAACTAATTCCAGCCTACCATCAGCAGCACTCAGCTAATTGAGCGCCACCTCTAGGGAAACCCCGGTCAGAGTCTAGTATTGACGTGACCCAGGTTCGAACCCATGTGGAGTCATTGAGCTCAGCCTACGCTTTCAAGAACATTTGTACTGGTTGATCCACCAAGGAAGCCCCTGCTTCTAATTATACTGTATATTTCTAGATATGTTTGATTCTCTTTAAAATGAGCTATTTTTTTGCCACCATCTTCTGGGCAGCCTTCATACTCCATCCAGGCTGATCTGAAACCAGCTACAAGGGAACTGCACAGACTCTGTAAGAACAGCTCTACAGCTCTAGTTTCCTGCTATCTCACAACTCACACAGTCCACTATATTATGTCAGGGAAATTCTTCTACTCACTTAGTCTCAACCACGAACGCAATTATCGGTGTCACACATTGTGATCAATGTCTTAGGACCAACAGCAATTATTTATAAACCAACACCTTTCCATTTCACTGATATGAAGGGAAATGTTAATTAAGGGCATGAACTGCAGTTACTCTTTTTAGTGACATTTTAATAATTGCCATGATAAATTATTGCTAAGTTCAGAGTTCAGAGTAATTTGGTACTTTTCTTCAAATGTAACCTTAGCTTAGACAAAAATGTGTAATTGGTGGTCTCAATAACAAAATAATGCAATGAAGCCCATTTCTTTTGACATACAGTATGTGCTAGAGTTAGTAGGGAACATCAGATTGTAAAGCATATTAAGCTCAAAACGAACAATCATGTTTATTAGTACAGGTTGTAAGTTGCTGACGAAACATGGAAAAAACACATTCTTGAAATTATGCTCTAATGAGGCCTTGACCTGCAACTTGTATAAATTGTGAAGCAACAGCAAGATCTGCCTTGGAGGCTGTAGCTAGGCTTTATCCCCATTTGCAGAATTAGCTTCTCCTTCCTTATTCAGTATCAGTCCTGCTCTCCCTCCTGTGTGGTATTATACAATTTCTCCCCTTGGGGCAGTCTTGATTTCATCAGGCTCCCATCCTCCTCCACACCTGGCCGGTAAACTTGCAGTAATGCTGCTGTTGCTTAGCAATGACAGCCATTTTTCTATAGCAGCTGGGGCAAACTACGAAAGCTTTCAATTTTGTTTCCTCTCTAAGTGAGTTTGTGTATGACATATAAGAATGGATTTAGATTCAATCACCATTAATGCCTCCGGATCCTAAGCTTTCTTCAGGCATAAATGACTAAGCCTTGCTGAAAAGTCATACGCAGCTTGGACTTAGGGATTAAGTGTAAACCTCAAGACTTGTCCCACGTGCAATCGAAGCCAGACGTGCAACAGGGCCACCAGAGCAGAAAGGCAGGTTCACTAGCCCAGTACGCCACCTGGCAGTGTTCTGTCGCTGCCTCCACACTGCTTGAACCCTCCTCCTCCCCTCCACCATCATCATCATGACCCATACACTGCCTGTAGATAACGTATACTCACAAGGCCCTCCAGCTGGCTGACCAGGTGACTTCATACCTGACAACCCTGACTGCCTGCAACAAAAGCCAGAGTTAAATGCCATGGAAGTTTCTCACAGCCACGCTAGATAGCATCTCCATCCCAGCCTGAACACAATAATTATAAGCAGCAACACAGATAAAGTTGCAAATGAGCATTCTGTGAAAGAAAGCAGGGGGGACCGGACACTACACGGTCCTGGACCCCCCTTGTTCTCCTTTTAATTGATCGATACCCGATCTTTAATGACAATTCAAAGGTAGTCCCCGGGGCTCCTGGTACAGCTGAGTGATATGTGTGGGAACAGCAAGGAGCCACTTCGGTGCACCTGCTAAATGGCTGTTCGGTCCTATTCCCCCTGCACCCCTACCATTGTTGCTGGTTTATATTCAGTTTCCCTCTGAGGAAACTGTGCATTGAAGGACTCAAGGACTGGCTGCTCTCTTTTCAAGGGGTAAAAGAAGAGGGTGACCTGCCAGGCAGCGGTAAATGAAAAAGGAGACATGGAAGCAGACATGGAGTCTAAATTCTAAACTACAAGCTCGTGATGCAGGTGTCATAGATCATGCATTTGAGCCACGGCCAGCAAGTAGCAATTTGATGCAGGGATGCTAATACGTGATTTCATATTGAAAGCATCTTTTCTTTTACTAATTTTCTATTAAACCTCAAGACAAGTATAAAAAGATCAGACATGCAAGGTTTTCTTCCTGTGTGTAAATATAGGTACAGGTAACAGGTATAAATAGATATGGCTCAATTCACTCACAGAAAAGCTAAGACAAATGGACAAAACACATTAATATTATAATCAGGTTTTCATAAGCCCACCCTAGACCAGAAGACACTACAATTATCAGTAATGAAAGCAGAGGTATGTCACTAAACACAATGTAATCTTGATTGTTTTGTGACCTTTAACCCCCACACTAATGAGATCCATAATGAAGGCATTATTCTTTCAGCATGTAGATTCATGTGACTTTTAAGAGCCAGGAGAATGAAAGCCATCTGATAAAGTCAGTACTGTAGACAGGTCTTAGGTATTAACTAGTCAGGAATTCTGCATATATAATGATTTGAGCACAAATCACATCTTGCATCAAGAAACATTTCACAACGATCTTTCCAGGTAACAAGTTACTAAAACTGGGAAAAGCTCATTAAGCAAATCCTCTACAAATTTTGTTACTTTAGTGACCTGGAGCAGACTGCACAGTGAAACAATGTGTTTTTGCCCTTTATTGCATGAGAGTAATGTGCCTCTGGATGGAACAATCCCGTAAGTGTTATAATATAGATTAAAAACACATCATCCTGGAATGTTTTGGTGAAAGTATTTAAGTGCACAACAAAATTGTGAAATTAACCTTTGTTTTCTACATCACGTTTTAAAAATATGATTGGAAATGATCAACTCTCAAACATGAGCTCATTTTCTCACACCCCTTTTACCACACCAGTGATGCCAAGAAGATTCTATTTCATAACCTCAAAACATAAAAAATATGTGATTTAACATTGCCCATATGGGAAAAGCAAATCAATTTATCTTCCGTCTCCATGGAATAATACATTAAGCAATTTTAAAAGGTTCCATCCCTTTTCGGTTTACACTTTTATAATCCTAAGAGTGGACACACTTA